AACACAATCTACTCTTTTAGCAAATGTCAAGTACATAATACAGTATTAACTATAGTCACCATGCTGTACGTTACACCCCCAGGGCTTCGTCATCTGGCATAGCTGAAGCTTTGCACCCTCTGACTGTCACCTCCCCATGTCACCCCCACCCCCACCCAGCCCCTGGCAGCCACTGTTCTACTCTCTGGTTCTACAGGTTCAATTTTAGATTCCACACATAAGTGAAATCACACAGGATTTGTCCTTCTGTGTCTGGCTTACTTCACTCAGCGTAATGGGCCCCAGGTTCACCCACGTGGTTACAAATGGCAGGATTTCTTTCTTTTATAAAATCGAATAAAATTCTGTTGTATGTAGAATACCACATCTTCTTGACCCGTTCATCCGTTGATGGACACTTAGCTTGTTCCCATATTTGGGCCACTGTGACTAACGCTGCAGTGAACACAGGGGTGCAAAGAGCTCTGAGACGGTTTCGTTTCCTTTGGCTATACACCCCGAAGTGGAATTGCTGGGTCATAAGGTAGTTCTATTTTTAATTTTTTTGAGCAAACTCTGTACTGTTTTCCATGCTGGCTGCACCAATTTAAATTCCCACCAACAGTGCACGAGGGTTCCCTTTTCTCCACACCCATGCCAGCATGTGTCATCTCTTATCATTTCATAACAGCCATCCTGACAGGTGGGAGGTGACATCTCATTGTGGTTTTGATTTGCATTTCCCTGATGGTTAGTGGTGTAGAGCACCTTTTCATGTACCGGTTGGCCATCTGTGTGTCTTCTTCTGAGAAACGTCTGTGCAGGGCCTTGGGGCAGCCACTCTTAACTGCACGTGTTCACTTGGGATTTTGCTGCTTCTCGCATGGGCAACTCTGTATATTCTGGGAGAAGGGCAGCGAAGGTTCACTTATTAAATGATGTTTAGCAATTCTTCAGGCAACTGCCTGAGAGGGAGAGTGAAAAATAAGGGGGAAATTGTACAAATAAAGCAAGGTTTGCTCTTATTTGTATAAGTTACTCTCACGGGTCTGCAATTTTAAAAGTACACTTTAATCTACTTGGCAGCTTGAGTGGCATTTTCCTGCACTATTTGTAGGATGCTGGAATCTCCTTACTGGCTACTATTTTTCGATGCCACGTACTTCTTGAACACATGGTAGCTCCTCATTCATTCACTCATTCATTCATTCATTCAACACGTTTATTGAGCACCTGCTATGTGCCAGACACTGTTCTGGGTACTGAAGATAGATCAGTAAACAAAACAGACAGAAATCCTTACACCCTAGAGCTTCCATTCTGGGGTGGGGATGAGGAGACAGGCAATAAACCGAAACACAAATAACTGTGTAAGAGGTCAGATGTGCTACAGAGGAAGATGGACCAGGGAAGGAAAACACTGACAATGTCAGGAATGTGTTTTCAGATCAGGTGGTCAGGGAGGGGGCCAAGAGGTGACACTGCAGCTGAGACCTGAGTGAGGTGAGCGATCCGGGAGGGAAGGTGGTGTAAGCGCCTTGCAGGCAGAGAGAGGCAGCAGTGCAAAGGCCCAGAGGCAACAGGTCTGGGGTGCCGGAGGTGGGAGGGTCTCAGACACGTGGGGGTGGGGGACAGTGCTTGGGCCTTGTAGGTGATTTGAAGCACTTTCATTTTGACTCTCATCTGGCAAACCAGTGGCAGGACTGGAGCACAGGGATCTCACTTTTTCCACATGTCCCTGAAGCAATAGGCTTCTTTGGCCCCGTCACCATCTCCATCTTTGGCAAGGCTGTGATGTGTTACTGGGCGCTGAGAATTGTTTACTCTTCACTGTGCAGTCGCCAAACTCAATTTATTCTTCCTCCAGCCTGGCGAGGGCCTGGCTACTCCAGCGCCTCTCCAAAATCCAACTTTGTCACACATGGCTTCTGTTTCTAATGGCTGTAATTGAGGCATAATTCAGACACCACACAATTTACCCATTTAAAGTGCACGAGTCAATGGGTTTCTAGGACAGTCACAGAGTTGTGCAGCCAGCAACACAATCAATTTTACAGCATCGTCACCATCCCCAAAAGAAACCCTGTACCCCTGAGCAGTCACTCCCAATTCTGCCCTCCCCTCTGCACACCCCCCCCACCCCACCCAGACCCTGGCAATCACAAGTCTACTTTCTGTCTCTATGGATTCTAGACATTCCAAATAAATGAAATCATACAGTAGATGGGCTTTTGTGACTGGATTTTCACTTAACAGAATGTTTTCAGGGTTGATCCGTGTTGTTGCGTGCACCTGTGCTTTATTCCATCCTACGGATGGACCACGTACTGTCTGTCCATTCATCAGTTGATGGACAGTTGGATTGTTTCCACCTTTTCGCAATTATGAATAATGCTCTGACTTATATTTTTTTTTAAGGATCATTCTGGTGGTTGTGTTGAAAACAGACCCTCGAGGGGCAGCCCTGAGGCAGGGAGAGCAGCCAGGAAGTTCTTGCGAGGATCCGGAGGAGAGCGCCCGGTGGCTCCCACGTACTCATAGGTGCAGATGGCAGAAATGGCCACCTCTGCTTCTGCTGGACACCTAGACAAGCTTGTCAACACGACTTGGAGGAGACGCCCGAGAGAACTAGAATTCTCTGTAAAATGGACAGCGTCTCAGAGACTGCAAAGGGTTCCCCGGGGCCAGTCTTCTGGGAAAGGACAGCCCCTCCCTGCAGATGCCATCAGCATATCTCTAGCCTGACTCATCAAAGGCCAATGCGGTCTTCACCTGCTGGCAAGTTCCAGCTCCTCCGAAGCTCAAACAGGCCCTAGGCCCCTTCTGAAACAATCAGTCGTGGGGCAGAGGAGGCGGAGGGCTGTGAGATGAACTGCTGGGGCGGCTGAGAGTCCCGGAGTGCTGGACGCTGGACGTCCTGGGCGGACGTGTGCAGAGGATGCTCGCTTCAAGGCTTTGCACATGTCACACCTAGACACCGTGGGGCCTGGCAATCCCTCCGTGCTGACCTTGTTACTACACGCAGGTGTTATGAGGAGCAATACAGATGTTTATAAAAGCCGTCGGGAGGAAGGATGGGAAAAGAACTTTGAAGGACAAAAAATACCTACTATTTAAGCTGTTTACTGTCTCCCATGACAGCAAAGCCAGGTAAACACACATACACACATGCATACACGTACGCACACACACCCCAAGACACAGCCCTCTCTCCCTGCAGCTGTGGTGAAGCCCTGGGGACCAGGACTGGAGAGAATCACTTCCCTCTAATTCCTCCTGGGTGGTAAAGTGACGTCGCAGGAAGACTTCCAGCCCCCATCACGCCAGGCTCAGCGTTTGGAGTGGGCCTGAAGGTGGGGTCTCTGCAAAAGGGTCTAGCTGGAGTGACACTCAAAGTTACCAGGATGGCACAGGTCTTGACCAATCAGCACCATGGCCAGCGCCCTGCCACCTGCAGGCAAGGGACCCTGCCGTCTGCATCCACCTGAGGGAACGTAGAAGATGGAGGCTGGGAACCCAACAGCAGGTTGGCATTGAAAGGTGAAGGGCACCTGCCAGTGTGACCGGCTGCTTTCCTGCATGCAAAGGACCACACGTTTCAACCGGGGACCCCGGGGGTCCTGCAGGCATAAGCTAGATTTGTCTTCCAGCCCGAGGCAATTGCCAATTATGTGTGCTGTGAGGCGAGCTGGCCTCGCGCCAGAAGAGGAGGTGAAGGGATTATGGAATCTCTCTCTCTGATCAAACTTACTAGAGAAGTTAAGGGACACCCACCCATCCAGGCGGCCCCATCGCGCGAGGTGAAAAGTCAGGATCCAAATCCTATGATGTGAGAGGCCTCCGACAAGCGTTCCTTCACCCCTCAGGCTCAATGCTCTCATCTGGGAAACGGGAACTGGGCATCGTAACAGCATCCACCTGGCAGGGTGGTGAGGACAATGACATGCGCTAAGGACACAGGTAAAGCCGGAAGCTTCGACACAGGAGCCAGGTCTGTCACCCAAGATGGGGAGAACAATCCAGGAGTTCAGCCAAAAAACGAACGAGGGGACGGGAACGCGAGACACAAAACTACATGCCGTTGGCAGCGTGAGGTTGGACGCCAGGGAGAGCGGTTTCTGTCGGTGTTGTTAGTCCAGGGAACACTGCGTGCGATCCAAGGCCTTGTGATCAAAATATGCTCAGACACCCGCCCGTCCAGCATCCCTCTCCAAGCGGCAGGACTGACCCAGCTACACGGGGGCTGGTGTGGCTTGCAACAAACAAGATAAATGACCTGAGCTTCAGAAGCGACACAGGCGCCACCTCCCCTCCAAGGAAAGAAAACCAACTCAGAGCCGACATGCCACCCGAGGGCCACACCTTCCACACGCTGGTGTTTCCATTTTCTGTCATCAGCACACGTGACCTCTGAAAGAACACCAAGTCTCTCCGACACCTCCCCAGGCTGCCCTTTAAAATCCACCCACCTCTTAGGGAACGCCGGGGAGTCTGGGAAACTCATGCAGGCTTTCTTCTTATCTCCAGGCGAGATGTCTACTGTAGCCGTGTGCCCAGGAAGAGCGCGCAGGGCGTACTGGTGGCAGAACAGGAGTACCCAGGCTGCCTAACTTGCCACCTCAGAGATGCCATGAGAATCGTCTTCGCTGGCTGGCTGTGAGAAGGCGTAACTCCTGGGACGTGGCACCACTGCTGTCCCCACCCTCCCTGAGCCCAAGGCCAAGAGCGTCCTGCTAACTTCCAGAAGTCACTTCAGCCCAGCCTCCAAAAGGACGGGGCCAGAGGGCTCTGCCGTGCCATAATCACATGGGTGACTACTTACGCAATGTATTTTCTTTTATTTCGACCCATCCCCAGGGCCCAGAGCAACTGAGATCAGAAAGAGCCACCACCTTCACCAAAAAAAAAAAAAGGAACTTTTGGAAAGCTTAACTGATAACTCCACAGCCACCCATTCGGCTGATGCCCGGGGAAATGAAAGGCACCTGGAAAATGTATTTAAAAATTGATTTAACGTTGAGCCATGTTAAATGTTTTAATTTCCAAGCAATGAAATGCCCACCAAAACATCAATTAGTCCCAGCAATCAGGCAGGAATATTGGCTTCTGTTGAGGGATTCATTTATTTCCGCTCTGCTAAATGTCTAAGAAGGAGAAACCCAATGTAGCCTGCAGCTCCGAGGAAGGGGAATTCAGGCCGAGTGGGAAGCATCAGGCTCTGGTTAAACTGTGCCTTTGCCTGCCCCCAGCTCGCCAGCCTTTGTCGCTGGAGAAAGAGCAGTGACTTGTAGGTACACCCCTCCCTTCCCTCTGCACAGCTTCTGTCTCCAAGCTGGAAACCAAGAGAGGGCTGCAGGTGTCCCCCTGTTCAGGACGCAAGCCCACTTAAGAACATGCAAGATCGTTTTTAATAATTATTCTTCCTCTCGGTGCCTTTTCAGTTTCAAGGCCCCTGGTCTCCCGGCCCTAGTGGAGGCTCTGGGTCGAGGCCCCTGGCCCGCTGCTTGGGGCCCCAAGGGCGATGCACGCACGCCGCTCACCACACGAGCTTGGGCACTAGGACCAGCAGAGGACAGCCAAGCCAAAGACCCCCGGGGACGGAGGCTCCTAAAAGGAAACACAAGACAGAGTGCACGGGGTCTCGGCAGCCCGCGGAGGCTGGATGCACCAAACCCACACCCCTGGGCCTCCCACTGGAACCACTCGCTTGGCCTCGCCAAACCTTGCTTTGCTGTCTCTTAAACGGGAATGACAACCTCCCAAAAGGCAGCTGGGGTGGTGAGAATTCAATGAGACTGCATCAGCTGGTCCAGAACTGCCTTCATCCAAGAAGTCACCTGGGGAGCTGGTTAAAAATGCAAACTTCCAGGTTCTCCCCTGCAGACTCGGATTCAGCAGGTCTGGGACCCGGCCCAGGAATCAGGATTTTTAAGCCTCACTCCCAGGTGATTCAGATAATGAAGCAGGTTTAGGAAACAAGGGGCCTGGCCTACAGGAAGGGTTCCCCGTTCCCCAACTATCTGCCCACTCAGGCCCCGGGGTGAACAGGGAAGGGCCTCTAGGATCGTCCCTGGCTGAGAACCTGCACCAACACCCTTTCAAAGGGCCCTCGCCACCTCCTGACACTGCTGGTTCAATGCTGGGGACTTGGCAATCTCCATCAAAATGACACACACACATGCCCTGTGACCCGGCTAGCCCACACCAAGAGTTCACCCTGCAGAAAACTTGAGCAGATGCAAAGTACACAAGGTCATTCATTGGCTGTCGCGTTGTTTGTAACAGTAAAAAAAAAATGGACACAAGTGAACCGTCTGCCTACAGACATCTAGTTAAATAAAGTTACGGCGAAGCCAGAAAACCAACAACTCATAGCTCCTATGGACGGGTGTGGAACTGTCCCCAAGGCACATTGTCAGGTGAAAAATCTGAGACGCAGAACAAAGCATAGAATGAGCTTTTGTCAGAGTGCAGAGACCATCTAGAGATATGCATAGAGTATCTCTGGATAGGTATACGAGAGGCTAGGAACACGGGGTGGCTCTGGGCAAGGGAACTAGGTGGCTAGGGGACAGGGGACAGAGGGAGACGTAACCGCATTCCTTTTCAGACCTTACAGCTTTTGAACCCTGTGCATTATCTATTGTGTGCATTATGCGACACACACAATAAACACTGTAACATTTAACAATAACTTCTAAATGGATGCACATTATATTTCAATGAAAAGTTGTTAAAATAATAACAGTCCATCAAATGGCACAGCTCTCGTTTGCAAGTGCCACCTCGGGCCATGTGTGGCAGCAGAAATTGAGAATTCCTCGACTCACCATCTCCAAGGGAAGACAGGAAAAGGGAGAGTGGAGGCTTTCGTTAAGCGCCCAGTTTTCTCGGCTCTCTGGGTATTTGCTCAAGCGGTTCCTCTCTACCTGAGATGCCCTCCACCTGGCTGAGTCCATCTTCTCCCCACCTCGGGCCACAGCTTAGACAGCACTGTCTTCAGGAAGTTTCCATGGCCACGCGCCTGCTCCCCAAAGCCTAGGTCCACTGCCTCTCCTGCATGTTCCCCATCACAGCACCTGTCACGCTGCCTCAGGGTCGCCTGGGTACCTCTATCTCCCCTCCCCCCATGCTCAGTGAGGATGGGGGACACATCTGGCTTGTTCACAACTGTCTCCCCACATCTTAATCCAAAGATGGGGCTCACTCAAGACAGCAGGAGTCACCGGGAAGTGGGAGAACCAGGTGGGAGGAGAGGAGCAAGAAAGGCAGGCGGGAAGCCACACGCCCCACGCCCCTCTCTTAACTCGGCCTCAGCGACCATCACCTCCCTTGCTTCTTGCCTTCCCTGGTCCTGGGAGCTATCACGTCATCTTGTTCGTTCCCCAGACAGCCAGGCCTGTCTTGCTCACGTCTGTATCCCCAGCCTCTACCCCATATAGTAGATGCCCAATACGTATTAGTTGGATTTATTGATTAAAATTGCAGAGTGAGAAGGTGGGAGGAGGCAAAGGGGCCACTGAAATGAATGTCGTCCTGAGAGACTCTGATTCGATGGATTCTGGGTGGGGTCTGCGGAAACTGTCCCCCCCCCAAATTGCTCCCCCCATTGCCTTTCAAATGCAGCCGCGTTCATTTGCATACGTTTGGTAACGACTTTGGATTTTTCTTTGAAGGCAGACTCTCCAATCACTGTCAGAGACCCCACCCTGAATCTTAGGAACGTTCCCGCCCCAGGCCCTGCAGGGTGGACCAAGGGACAGGGATGAGGGCTAGGGCTAAGGCTAGGGGACACAGGCAGGGGGCTGTCCTGCTCACCTGGCGGAGAACACGAGGAGGGGGTCCGGGTGGGGCTGGCGCTCGGGGGCGCGTCCAGCCAGGAGGGAGTCTTGGCGCCATCTAGCGCCCGCTGGAGGCTCTGCAGCTGCAACACGCTGAGCTGCCGGCGCTGGGCCGGGGTCACCGCCGCGGCGTTCCCAGGGCCCAGGGCTGCGATCTGCTCCGGGGACAGCTCCTGCCGAGAAAGGAAGCAGCGCCCTCAGGAGCGACCCTCCACGGGCTCCCCAAACCTTGGCCTATCCCCCCCAGGAGCCGCAGAACTCTGCCATCCCCACCTACCATGTGTGCTGCTCTTTAGGATTTTCCCTTAAAATCAGATCATTCTTTCGCTACCAAGATACATTTTATTTTCTAAATGAAAATTTCAAAAAATGGGAAACGAGAATGACTTGCCATCACTAATCATTAAAAATAAGCCAAAAGAAATAAGAACAGCATTATAGAACCCTAGCTAGATTTTTGTAGGCCAACATCTGAACCCCAGGCCTTAAAAAAGGGGGGGGGATTTTTAGAAGTATAACAGAGGTGTTAAAGACATTTTAGCTCCCGATGGAGATTTCCTCCTCGAAGTAGTCAGTATCAAAGGAGAAGTGAAAAGAGGATCAGGGGCCGGCCGAGTGGCTCGTCACGTAAGCGTTGGCTTGGGAGCGCCAGCTCTGAGCAGCAGGGCCCCGGTTTGGATCCCACATGGGGGCCAGTGATGTTGCACCCTCTACACCTAAGATGGTGAACAACAGCTCGACCTGGAGCTGGGCTGCCGTGCGTCTCTGGCAACGGTGTAGGCTGCAGTGGGGCTACCATGAGTGGCCGGCAGCCAGAATGAGCAGCCACAATGCCGGCGACCCATCTGCCTCAGCCGGGAAGAACGCAATGATAACAATACCAACATGGGCCAGTGAAGCCACGTCCTCCGCAACTAGACTGAAGAACAAAAGGATAGCGACTTGTTTGTTCCCCTTCCCCGATTCCCCAATGCTGTTCCCTCCCCCCAATTCCCCAATAAAATCTTAAAAAAAAAAAGAGGGTCATGATTTTCTCACTGTGACGTAATGTTATTTAACGCTGTCCATGGTACCTCCCAGCGCTTCCAAGTCCCCAACCTGAGACGCGCTGATGTGGGGGAGAAAATGCAAGCCTACAGGTCTTGGGACGCTTGAATCTGTGTCCCAGTTCTGCCGCATACTAGCTTTGTGACCTTGGGCAACTTAGAGGGCCTCTCTGGGCTTCTGGACTAGATGAGGGGTAGCACAGAGAACTCATCTCCTGAACGCCATGGGGCTGGGTCCTGCGAGGGCTCAGAGGAGGAAGAGGTGGGATCTATTAGAGATGTCGGCCATGGACACCGGAAGTGGGAAGTTCTGCTGCACACCCTGTCTTTGAGGACCCAGACCAAGACATTTTCTGATGTCACTTCCAGCTCAGAGGACTTGGTGACTAGTCCCAGTGGGTCTGGAATTCTGCTTTCGTGGAGGGACCTCTAACATCAGAAGCCAAAGATTCTGAGAAAGGGGGTCACGCTCCCTCATTCCTTCCTCTTCTCCTTCACCCTCTTCTTTCCTATCTTGGGAGATGCAATTCTGGAATCAGGTTATTCCCCGGCTTAGAACCCTCCTCTGCTCCACTTCCAGGACACAGCTCTAGCTCCAGAATGAGGCAACGAGACTGTCAAGCTCTGGGTGCTGTCCACCTCTCCAGCCACCCTCCCCCCAGCACACTTCACACCCAAGTTTGCAGCCCCCAGGAGGCAGCGCCTTTGCCCTGTTCTTCTTTTTGCCTGGAACACACTTCTTCCCTCTCCACCTGTCCTGTGAGATCAGCACCATCGCCTTCCCCTCACCACACACACACGAGCATAGGTGCTCTTCTGGCTTACAGCTCACATCTCCCATTAACAGAGTCTGCGTTATAAAAATCATCTGTTTTCCCAATGTTGCTGACTCACCACCCACAGGCCAGACTGAATCTCTAGGCCTGCCGCCCTGTTTTAAAAAAACAAATACAAAGGGGTTGCCAACATTTAATTACCAGGAGATTTCACAGGGAAAATGAAGACTTCTGAATTCTTAAAAAACAACAACAACAAAAAAGGAAAATCCAGCAATCCTGGGCCCACACTGTCACACTGCATTAAAGTGCAGAGATGAGCCGCAGCCCCTGTCTACACAGGGCTCTTCAGTTCACATCCATGCTGACCTGGCCCACTGCACTCCCTCATGTTACCTTCCAAGCTCCTGAGGACACTGTTAGACCCATCCCCAGGGTGCACCTAGCCTGCAGCCTACCACTATGTAGGTGGTCTATCGAAATTTCTGGAATGAATACCTGAGCAAGGAAGCAGTCACAAACTACACTCCAAATAAGACCAGGACAAAGTGCCTCGCAACGTGCCAGCATCCAGGTCCAGGCAGAGGCCCCCAGACAGGCGGCTCTATGGCCTTGAGGTCTATTTCTTCATTCTCAAACCAGCTATCGCGCCTGCGCTGTAGTGGGAACTGTCCAGGGTGCTGAAGTGGTTCAAGGTGTGCTGTCTTGAAATGAACCAACGATGTGGCATCATTTGTGTGTCTTATCCAGTTGTGGAGGACAGATTGTGTTCCCAACTTAACCCAGCAAGCAAGACTACCAGGGTCACTCCCCATCAGAGCAGGCTGTCCCCACCAGACACTCCCCTGATCTTCTACATGGATAGAAAGCAAGGACCTCTCATTAGATACCCTGCCTCCCTAACTTCAGTTGATCCAGCTGCACCCTCTCAGTTTTTCCCACAGTAGTATGTCGCCTGTCCTACTGTGGCCTTCTTAATACTTTTCTTTAAACGAATTCAAATATTTTCAGTGACGTGTTTTTATCTTTTTTTTTGACACGTGTTTTTAAAGGAAACATTATCCAGGTCCACAATTCCTCATCTGCAATTCTGGAGTCCAAAAAGAAGTCTCAAAAATGAAAGTTCTTTCTAAAGTTTAAGACAAACTCATTTGCCAGCAAAACCTGACCTGAATTTATGTGAGAGCATTTATAGTCTCTGTTTCAATTAGTGTGGCTTGTCACTAATTTCTTCACAGAAATATTAATGTGTTTGCTTATAAGGTGCTTCCTCAAACACTGCTGGGGGTGTTAAGTTACATAGTGTAGATTCACAGAGTGATCTTTCTAAAATCTAGGAAATTCTGAATTCTGAACTATCTCTATTCCCCAGGGTTTGGGATAAGTGAATATTAAACTCGCCATACCATCATCATAAATGGGAAATCAGTGCCACATGCTGTGAAGAGAAGTCAACCATAAAAATAAATACAACTAAAACATAAATTAAAATGTTAAGAAAAAAAACTTTTTAAAAAACTCTAAAATTATCTTGTGACACGTCCATTGCTGGCATCCAGCTCCCCTCTGGCCCTGTCGGCAGAAGCCTGGTTGCAAACCTAGAATCCCAGCCTACCATCTGCTTCCCTGTGATTTAAAACGAGGTCAAGCCCCCATTCTTCTAAAGGAACCGAGGACCTACTTTGAATATCTCATCAGGAAGGCATCTGATTGCTGATGGCTGAAAATACGGCATCAAATCCTTGTCAAGCATTCGTAGCTCTTCCTTAGTTAATCCAGCTGGGGAGAAAAAGGAATCACAAGGGTTTAGTTCAAGCCAGTGGAGCTCTGCTTGTTTTATTAATGCTGCTGCATAATGTACGGGTCTGTGTGTTCTGGGCATGCAGCGTTCCTTCCGAAAGGCCCTGAACATTGCACTGGGAAGCAAGTTCCTTCATCAGCTCAGGGGAAAAAAAAAGTGGGTCACATGAGCCCTGATTGGTCTCCTACAATGAAATGTACCCCCTGGAAGGTACCTTTTCAGATTGTGCATGAACCTATTTTGGGGCCAATTCAATCACATTCTAAACCACTTCAGTGTGCACAAAACCACCAAGAAAACTTGTTCAGAAAGCAGCTTTGCACACCCTACCCTCTGTAAGTGCATGTGCCAAAATCTACGTCCTACTGTCACTCTACAGAAGTGCACTACACATGGCTAAGGGTTCTATTTAGTGTTTCTGTCCCCAGATTTAAGGTTGGAAAGGGAGAGAAAGGCACGCTCCTGGCGCCTCTTACCTGCAATGGTTCCAAGCTCCTGCAAGACAGAGCTGGACCACTGGGTGGGATCCCCAAACACAATTTCTGCTTTCCTCTTAAACTCGGCCAGAACGTGGGTGTCACACAGCAGGGTCCCGATTCTGGCCACTGCCACCCTAGTTAAGAGGGAAGGATATGGTGTGAGCCTGGAAGGCTCTCGAGCCAAAAAAAACCCAAAAAAAACAAATGGTGTGTGGAAGGTAGGTAAGGCTCAGCATCAAGAAAGGGTCCCCTATTTTCCCCTGGAAAGGTGACCAAGCGTCAGGAAGCAGGGAATGCCTTGCTGAGGGGATGACCCCATCAGTCAATCCTTTGCCATTTTGCACACCAGCGTTTCGGTTACCTGAATTCTGAGATCTTTATAAGTGAGATTTCGGAGATGCTCAAAGCGCAGAGGGTCGCCCCAAATCCAACTAAGTGGAAGCTCTTGAGATCCTGGACGCGATAGCCTGAATCCTCCAGGAATCCTTGCAGAATGCACTGAGCCTATAAAAACGAGGAAGGACAGGAGATGAACTCTCCAGGGATGACCGAGACCCCTGAGCTGAGCTAAAGCAGCAGCCTCCTTCCTGAATGAGCCCCCACCTCACTCCACTGAACTCTCTCCCCGTTGCGAACATCGTAACCACTGCTTCCAGGCTGGCCCCCCTAAGGAGCTGCTTTTGCTGAGCCGGCGCCCTCATCTAAGGAAGTGTCTTGAGGCAGTGAAGTTCCTGTCGCCTTCACCAGCATTAAAGGAACTGGGTCCTGGGTCTGCATCTGCTGGCTTGCTTCCTTCAGTCACTCACGACCTTCACACAGCTTAGGCATTTAAGGTCTTCTGCACCAGGACGCAACCTTCTCCAGCATCTGTTTCTACAACTTTCTGACAAAACCTTGTACATTCCTGGCTTTGCGCCTTTGCTCAAATCAGTCCTTCCCTCTGACATGCCCTTCCAGCATTCCCAACTGTTAACATCCAACCATCCTTTTATTTGGGGACTTCAAGTGTCACCTTCTTTGTGAAGTCTCTTCCCTGACTATTTCAGCCAGAGTGAAGTTTTCTTTCTCTGAGATCCTACAGAAATAGCTTTGCCCCTTGTGTCTTAATTCCAGAGAACAGTACAGCAAATGCTTTGGTGCTGAAAACCACACAGGATCTCTTTAATGAGCTTTGATTTAAGGGGGCCGATGTGTCGGGTCCCTGAAGTTCTAGAACACTGGTCGTTCATTGTCTGTGACTTTCCTGGAGAGCATCCTGAGTTCCAGGGGTGATGCTATGGCCTGGTCCTGACCACTCAGGTCATCTCTTAGCCTGGCTGCAGTGACTGCTCTGGATCAGGTATGCGATCCACTCAAAACCTTCCAGGACTGTGACTGGAACCTTTAGGAGAGAAGGTCCAGTCTCTGCCCTGGACTGGACCTCGGGAGGATAAACCTCTGTATCTGCTATAACTCACCATGTGAAAAGAACCTGCCTCTGAACGAAGCCAACATAAAGGAAAGCAGGGTCCAAACATGGTGAGAGATAGAGACCTGACAATAGTATTGAAGCCCCTGGATCCAGCCATACCTGGACTCCACACGTGGCCTTTTCCACTATAGGAGTCAATCAATTCCTTTTCTGGCTCAAGCCACTCTGAGTTGGGTTTGCTGCCACTTGTCAGTAAATGAACCTGACATATTTGATGTACCTATGTTCCACCCAACAAGGGATCCAAGTCGGGGGATGAGCTGTAGAATAAAGCCTGGACCCCTCCGTGCTCATGGCGGCAGGTGCAAAAGATGACAAGAGGACAAGCACTCACAAGGCAATGATGGGGAGAGACATCCAAGGGCAAATGTCTCCTGAATGGGAGTGAAGGTCACAGGGACCAGTGAACTTCCCAGTTCCTCTAACCCCAGTCCATCCCCTCCACACAACAAAGGTCATTACGGGCGTTGCGAGAAAGTGTTGGCAGCCTGAACTGTTGCCGTGGGATTCCACTTTTCATGCGGCTGTTGCTTCCCCATCCTTCACGTCTGTCTGCACGCTGCTTCTTCCAAGAAGACTGCCTGGATTGCCCCACTCCTGCCCTCACGATTTCCATGAGCACACTGTCTGTGTTCTGCTTATCACTTACTAAGAATTTAAAATTTTTTCATCTTGATCATTTACTTTTTGGTCTGGATTTCCAAAGACGCACACCATATCCAGCCACAACTACCCTATGAAGTATTAATATTATCCCTATGTCACAGATGAGGAAACTGAGGCACAGAGAGGTTAAGGAACTATGCCAAGGTCACACAGCTGGTTAAAAAAAATGGTTCTAGGATTAAACAAGGCGGTCTGAGTCCAGAGCCTGTACTCTTGGCCAGTGGAGATATTTGGGGTGCCCGCAAAAGATGGAGAGCCAAGTCAGCCTTTGACCTGTTTTTATTAAGTCTTCACAGTCAGGTTTCCCTGGCTAGCTCATAGCAATATGTGTTCCCCAACTATCAAGCATGCCCATTTTAAAATGAAAGTGCAAAAATACAATTCAAATCAAATTACTCTGCAGATGCGGTATTAAATTGTCCTTGCCGCTGGAACCTGGAAAATGCAAGCTCAGCCTGCCAGGTGATGAGCCAAAATATATTTGCTTCAATGACTGGACCAGTGTGTCTGTCAGGATGCCAAGACAATTAACACCAACACTTTTAAGCAATATTAACCACTGGAAAATGAATCGCTGTGAGATTTCCATCTCTGCGCATCCCGCCGGCTTCTAGGATAGGCTCTGTTTCCTTATATTGGTTTTGAAGCTGAATTATCCGTTAATATAGTTTCAGCAGCCCTGACTATTAATCTAGAAACATGCATTTAAGGGTTTGATTGCAAGCTAAAGTTGAGGAACTGAGGGCAAATGATATATGCAATTGTTAGGTTTTCATACTCTCTCCAAACATATCAGCAAATCTCACTGCATCCATGGGAATTAAAACGGGTGCAAAAGGATAGAGAAACTCTAGTTCCGAAGTTGGGCATATGTTTCCATTTTCTCCCAGGCTGCCCGAGTAGAGTGGCTTTATTATCCAAAGTGTCGTGTGGCACATCTCCACCCAGTCAAAACCAGTTTTAGAGTCCCAGAGTCCCAGGACTACAGAGAGTCAGAGTGGAAGGAACCTCGGATTCCTGGGTCCAATGGTCCCGTCTTGCAAATGAGAAAACTATCCAACTGCCACAAAGAGAAAATGTGATGACGACAATGATAATGATGATGGTGATGATGACAAGGATGATGATAACGATAAAAACAACCGCTTGTTATTGAACACAATGTACCAGCCGCTGTTCCAAGCGTTTCACATGTATTAGCTCATTAAATCCTCATGGCCAGGACCTGCATGGTGCCCAACTCCAGGGGCACGATTCACACTGCGTTCTGTTTGAATGGTGCCACTCAGAGTTACGTGACGCGGCACTCCTGATTACAAATGCTCGGGAGAGTAGGGAACACGCATTGGTTCGCCTGCCCGGCATCCTTCCTCCGTTTGTTTGATGACACCATGCTTTTCCTTTCTTTGGTGAACCACCCCGTATTTATTTCCTCCTGCTGCTGTGATCAAGTACCACAAATTTAGTGGCTTCAAACAGCACAAATCTATCCTCATATAGGTCTGGAGGTCATGAGTCCTAAAATGGGTCAGCAAGGTGTGTTCCCTCTGGAGGCTCTACAGAGAATTCATTTCCTTGTCTTTTTTTTAGCTTCTGGAAGCTTCCTGCACTCCTTGAATCAAAGCCCCATCTTCCGTCTTCAAACACAGCAGCACAAATGTCTCTGTGTGTCCCTCTGCTTCTAGTGTCACATCGCCTCCTGTATCTGTGGCCCCCTTCCTCGCCATTACAAGGACCCTCATGATGACATTGGGCCCACCCAGGTAATCTAGAATTATCTCCCCATCTCAAGATCCTTAACTTACTCACACCTGCAAAGTCTCTTCTGCCACATAAGGTCACATATCCACAGGTGCTGGGGGTTAGGACACGGACATCTCTGGGGACCTTTATGCAGCTACCACACCCCCATCCCGCACTCCCAGGGCCTATGGACCCCGCTGTCTGCTGCACGCCTGGCCAACCAACATGCTCCACTCTTGCCCAGAGTGACCACTCAGGAGCGGCAATGACATGCTTGGAGTCAACACGGGCTTTTTCAAAAATTAATGAGAAAGGGGCATTTTCTGGTGGCGCTGCTAATTAGCTGATACATAAGCCTAGTGCTGAAAATGGCCACTCAGGGCCGCCTGAGAATGACGGCAACACAGAGCAGCTGAGACTTCCCTGTCTGGCAACATGGTGGACCCACTTCCCTCCGAAATGAAACAAATTCCAGGGAGAACTTCTTCAGCCCACGAAGGAGGACCTGACATAGAAATCGCCCTCGCGTCATAAACAACGAGAGATAGCTGAACAAATTGTACGAAATAACAGCATTCAGACACTAGACAAAAGGAGCATGGGACTACAGTCCTGAAAAACAGGAAGGCCAACAAGGTGAGCCCTAACCTTCCCCTCGCTCACCACCCAGAGGCCGTTTCCAGGCCACGAAGCAGGAAAGGGCACCCAAACGAGCCCAGGGGTCCAGCTGAGTTGAGGATACAGAAATCCAAGCTCAGAGAGGTCAGAGCACCTATAATTTATGCTGGAGAGGAAGAAAAGGCACAGACAGAGAAAACGCACTCCAGAAATCTTCTCGAGTCTGGCTGAGCACTGATCTGCACACGCAGAAGTGAAACTCCACGTAAATATTGGAAGGATGCATCAGAGAGCGACAAGCAGAACAATTCCCAGCGTCCATCCAGAGCTGGAAAGGTTCCCATCTCCACCAGCCAGAGAAGAGAGGGCTTGAAATACACAGAGCATCATTAGGTCGCATCCTCGGAAGAACCAGCGTTCAGTAATGGGGACAAATGGCCCACAGAGTAAAGGTCACTCTAGACTCGCCCTAATCAATCTCAAAAGGAAGCTCGAAGGGATCAAACTGATTTGAAGGTAATTTAAATGTACGCCAGAACATAGCCCTATTGCCTCAAAGAGTACAACTAGATCAAGCACTCAAAAATGTAAAATCCCCAATACCCATCAACCAGTCAAAATTACGAAGCCCGTAAGTGAGACAATGTGACCCATAACCAGGAGAAGAATGTCAGTAGAAACAGACTCAGAAGCGACAGTGACGACGGACTATTGAAAAGAGCCAGCATCCTCTGCCTACCTGTCCTGGGGTCCACTCTGTCTGCTGGCTTAGGACAGCCACGGTGTCGATGGAGCTGAGGTCCAGCTGCTCTAGCTCACTCTTATTCAGAGCCAGCGCGATGCAGCCCAGGGAAACTATATGGTGTTCTCGCCAGTAAGGAGGCAGGTCCCAAACCTGCAGGTAGAAAAAAAAAAATCCAGATTACGGACAGGATTTAAAACAGACATAGGGTCAACCTCTTTAATATGTAAAGGTCCTTCGTAAATCAATAAGAAAAAGAGGACTACTTTTGTTGAAAAAAAAAAGGCAAACGACATGGATAGAAAATTCACAAAGAAGATATAAACGTATGGAAAAAAGTTCCATCTCGGTCATAATGAAAGAAATGTACATTAACAACCATCAGCATAACATGTTGACTGATGAGACTGACAAGGAGTAAAAAGAATGACCATTGATGGTGTTAGAACGATATGGGGTAAAGGATAGATACCCTCATGGCTTGATGCTGAGAATATAAATTGGTACAGGCTTTTTAGAGGGAAATTTGGCTATATGGAATGAAAGCTTTTAAAATATTTATACTCTTTGACCCAGAAATTCCACCTCTGGGAATTTAACCTAAGTAAATGAGACAAGTGCCCAGAGAAATATGTACAAGTATGTACCTCGAGGAATTAAAAAACATAAACTATCTAAAAGTCTACTAATTAGCTGAATAAATGCCAGCTACAAAATGAAATATTATGTATCTATTTTAAATACTGATATGGATTGATATTTCTGATATGAAAAGTATGCATTGTATACCGTTGTGTGTGGGCAAGTTATTGAATAGTGAATGTGGTCTTCTTTCCTTTAATATATATGTGAGAATACATGAAATGCCTGTACGAAATATATGTTACCCACATATACAGAAGTCTGGGAAGCTTCAGGTGAATATACCAAACTATCAGCAATGATTATCTCTGGGTCAAAGAGTATGACTGATTTTCTTCTTTATTGTTTTCTGACTTTTCTACAATAACCTTGGATTACATATATAAAAAGTAGAGTTAGAAGTATAATTTTAAGGCACTTAAGGTCTCAGTCCCCTCCAGGGTAACTGTGTATTCCACAACTATCCTAACAGCTCTAAGAAGCCACTCAAAGGGACCTTTAGAAAGAGGCAAACTTCAGGGCAGCCAGTGAGCTCAGGTGGTTGGAGCGCAGGCTCATAACACCAAGGTTGCCGGTTCGAT